AGAAAACTTAAAGAAAACCTTTGCTCTTGAACAAACTCAGAGTTTTGACAGGGAGTGTTTTATTTTAACTCTTACTAGATGTTTTCCTTCGTATCACATCCGTGCTGGGTATTTAACATGAAATACTGGATGTTTATGTATTCAGTACTTAGTAGTTGCTGATCTTTAGAGAAATTTAACTGAAGCTGCTTGAACTAGTGATCACAGGTGTTTCTTATTTCCTAACTGAAGTAGGCACTGCATCAGAAATTTTAAACCTCTTACAAGGTTTAAACTTGGGTTTAGCTGTACCGGTTTCTAGACTGAAATACTTTTCCTGATGCAACCTGTGCCAGAGTTTCACCACCCTCATGGTAAAAACATTTCTTCCTTATATCTAGTCTAAATCTACCCTGTTTTAATTGAAACCCATTACCACTCATCCTGTCACAACAGGCCCTGCTAAGGAGTTTGTCCCCCCATTTCAGCCCCATGTAAGTACTTTAAGAGTGCATGTTGTTACCAACTCCATCTAAAAAAATAAAATCAAAAGGGTTGTCAGAGGTTTTGTAAAAATTTTTTATCATAGGCTAAATTACCATTTTCTCTTTTGCTGTGGTTAACTTGTAGTAATGTTTATTTGGAAATTGTTTTACAAAATAATATAGAGACTAGGAGAGTTTAAAGTGTTGCTACTCCTCACCCAGCAAAATGATAGTGCTCAGCAGCAAATTCAGAATTAAATATAACCAGCAAAAATTGCACCCAAAAGGCTCTGACAGACAAGTAGAAGGAAATATGTTCATAAGGTTAAGTACCAACTGTTTATACAGTTCAGAAATTACTGGAAACAGTCAAAATTACCACCTGCATAAAGAGCAGGGGATTTGGGAAGATCTGCTTAAGATTTTTGAGAGGAAAATTCATCCAAGTTCTTGATTGGGGAAATGATGAATTTGTATGTGATAGGGATTAATTGGAAGATATTTACAGTATGGAAAAAGCATGTTTGAAGAGTTTGAAAGATGCTTTTAACCCTGGCATTTCCTTCCTGCTCCTTACACCACAAGAACAAGTGAGGGCAGCAGCAGTAAAACTTTTGTTGGTAGGTGAGACTGGATAGAAGAGTTTGTTTTGTAGGTGGTGTTTATGTTTTATAATATTACTTTGATGGTTTATTTAAAGTGTAAACAGTGTTGCTAATAACCTAGAGGTAATTAATGCATCTTATTCACAGCTGGTAATCTGAGGAATGATAAGGAACTTTCCTATGCTTTTCAAACTTCAAGTATAAATTTGAAAGGCAGATCAGCCTCAAACATTCTGGTTTATATAAGCAGGCATTGTGCTAGCTAACAACAGAATACTCTGCACTGGGTTTGGCAAGAGCATTGTGGTAAATAATTTGGCAGAGCATTATACGTTTTATGACCTGGACTGATTAGTTATCTCACTTTCTGCTCTGAGTTTTTAAGATGAGACTGGATGTGGCACTTAGTGCCATGGTCTAGGAACCACAGCAGGGTTGGACTGGATGATCTTGGAGGTCTTTTCCAACCAGGTTGATTCTATGACTCTATGATTGAAGCCATTCCCCCTGGTCCTACTACATGCCTTTGTAAAGGCCAGTTACTTGCTGGTTTATATATTCTAATAGCAACCCTGTTTTCAAAAGACACTGAATGTCAAATGTGAGTGTGGCAATCTCTGGCTCATTGCTTAACATCCCCTGACCCACAGTACTCTACTTACTCTCTTTGTCCTGGTACTTAGTGTTGAACCTCAAAACCACTTGATGCAAGTACACTTTGAATTGTTAGTGTGCCATGTAATGAATGGTTCCTTTTGATCCACGATTATAATCACAGAAATACAACAAATTAAGATGTGTGACCAGCAATGTCTAAAATAAACCACTGTAATTCAGAACCAGTACTATATATATATATATATATTTGAAAGATGAAGTAATGAAATAATTTTCACACTCAAATCTATTATTAGAATGAATAGAAAAGTCACACAGCAAGGAAGTGAATATATCAAACAACAAAGGAGACTTCTTACGGTGACTTGAAGTGCTAAGTCACAAAAAATGGTTAGTGTCCGTCAGACCAATTAAAATACTGTTCCTTCTGAAGAAAAGATCAAACTATTAATGAAACATCAATAGTCTGATGGGATGGCTCAAAGTGCATATGGAAGAGGGCAGCAGTGCAAGCCTTGCTCTTCATGCATCCCCTCCTCTTAGCACAGTGACTGTGCAAAGAACAGTCCTGCAGCCTTTACAGCAGGTCACCTTCCTTCCCAAATGGGAACTCCTAGTTCCCAGTCGTCCTCAAGATCTTTCACATTTCTGTAAATCATCTTGCAATATGCAAGGTAGCACACACTTTTAAAAAAGCATGTTATGTTTGAGTAACCTCCTCAGCCCAGAAGGAGGTTTGTGACTAGGGGCCGGGAAGTGACATAGACTTTCTGAACACCCAGGGCCCTCTGGGGGGCCCTGGATAAGGGGGTGGTGGTATGTTGTGTCCATCTGAAGTAACTGCTTGCTCATAGGTGGGCAGTCCTGAGTCGTCAGGTCTGAGGGGAAGTGGGTTTAGAGAAAACTCCTCGTGCCTTCTGAAGATGTTAGCCGAGTTGCGCCTTCTGCTCCGCGCGTAATCCAAGTACCTACACAAAGGCAACAGCATCATCAGTGGCAACTTCTGTTCTCAAGGGAAGAAAGAATATGAAGTCTTAATCATAAACCAAACCAAATCAACCCCAAAAAATCCCCACCAAAAACCCACACAAAAAAACTCCCCATGCCTTCAATGATCATGAAGGCCAGAAGTCAAATACTCTCTGCAAACCACAGATCAGTAATGTGAAATTTATAGGGAAGAGAAAGCACAGAATCTTCTTACATTCAAGTTTAGGATAAACAAGCAAGCAGAGGTAGAGAACTGGTAAAGAAGTATTTCCTCCAAACTACTTCATCTCCCATCTGAGGCAGACTACGTGCACACAGACTACTTTAAAGAGTGAACAGAACAGACTTTCCCTAGCAGGCCCCAACTTAACTCTTTTTAGTAAAATTACTTTGGAACCAAGAACACACACACAAAAAAAGGAAACCCAAAGGTACATCAGCCATGCAAGTGTTGTTTTATGTTTCTGTGTTACTAAGTTCAGCATAACTACTTCTAATGCTTACCTGACTTTGTTTCCAGGCAAGTAAGAACTAGAACTCCCCCTGGATTCTCTGAGAATACAGTTAGACTAACCCACAGGGATTTTTAAATTCCACTCCCAGGCAAGAATTTGGTGTGCATTTGTATTTTTAAGCAGTGAAATTCCTTACCCTTGTGGTTGCCTTGATTTGCATCTACTTTTGCAGCAGTAGAAGATAACCAGTGCAATGATAACTAACAGCACTCCAGCAGCAACCAGACTGATGAGAAGTCCTGTAATATTAATCTTGTGTAGTGTCTCATCCCCTGAAGATAAAACATTGGTTATTTTCATTATGTATTCTTTCCATCTACACAGTATAGAGTTTACACTGTAAAATGTACTTTTGCTCTGCTATAGGGGTGTTCTTAGAAGATAACCAGTGCAATGATAACTAACAGCACTCCAGCAGCAACCAGACTGATGAGAAGTCCTGTAATATTAATCTTGTGTAGTGTCTCATCCCCTGAAGATAAAACATTGGTTATTTTCATTATGTATTCTTTCCATCTACACAGTATAGAGTTTACACTGTAAAATGTACTTTTGCTCTGCTATAGGGGTGTTCTTTCCACAAATGTCTAGTGTGAGAAGCCCTGCTATAGGGGTGTTCTTTCCACAAATGTCTAGTTTGCTGTGAGAAGCCCAGGGAGGTGGTGGATTCACCATCCCTGGAGGTTTTTAAGATGAGATTAGATGTGGCATTTAGTGCCATTGTCTAGTAACCACGGTAGGGCTGGACTTGATGATCTTGGAGGCCTTTTCCAACCTGGTTCATTCTGTGATCTGTGCAACACAACCCAAGAGTATAATTCCCAGTCAGCTTAAAGCAAAAGTGAGTAGATACTCCGTTTTCTGTACATAGAACTCTTGAGATGTCCATCTTCTAATGCCTTCCAAATAGTACTTCATGTACTTGTGACCTTGATCAGGCTGTAGATCTTTCCTCAAGTCATACTGACCCCTTTTTACTGAACATCTGGCATCAGACTACTCTGAGCCTAAATCAGACTGTTATGCTAATGCTGAAGAAATGGGGGCAAGAACAAACAAAACAAAGCACAGAATTACTGCAAAGTTTACCCACTATGTAACAAAGAAATGGCCACTAAAATTATATAGTTTTTACCTACATATTTATCTGTAATATGCTTCAGTGAGTATGTTTTATTTTATTAGATAATGGAATATACTTGTACAGTTCACACTGAACTTCAGTAAGAAGAATTCTCATTTTGCTAACTGAAGAATGTACTATTATGACAAACAAGATACTGCAATATAAGAAAAAATAAGATCACTTACCTATTTTTATTTTAGGGCCTTTAACTGAATAGTCCTTCCAAAAGTCCATCTGTAAGCACCAAAAGGAATCAGATTTATATGAGACATAATTGCAGGTCCTACTGACTCTTTTTTTTTTTTTTTTTAA